TCCCATCTCCCCTCCCTGCCAGTCCATCACAAATGCTGCAGAGCTTAGCAAATGTCAGAGGGGAATTTAAGAGGCTAATCGGAGTGCATGTCATGTCAGGAAGGAATGTGGGAAACTATTTCTTTTCAAATCACCTACCAGTTTGTTCAAGAGCCGAGACTGAAGAAAGGTGTTCAAGTGCCAAGCAGGAGAGATGCCAAGAGCTGCCAGTTTGTGTTTATGAGAAAAACAGATCTGAGCTTTGGCATTCCACGCATATTTGACAGGCTTTAGAAAAGTTTTCATAGCTTATATGGAGCTGATACAGACTGAGTGGGTGATGATATTAAATACTACAGGACAAAAGTATACAAGCTATGTTTTTTAGAACATCACAAATGCTGTTCAGGTCAAAACCAAGTTGAGAACCAACATCCAGTACCTGCTCAGACGTAGTTTTACCTTTTTGTCGTCTTCACTGTCACAATGTCACCAGGACTCTGAATGTTGACTATTAAAGGTCCAGTGTGTAACATTTAGGAGGATCTCTTGTCAGAAATGGAATATTATATTAATATGTATGTTTTTATAAGTGTATAAAAACCTGAATATAAGAATCATTGTGTTTTCATTACCTTAAAACGACCGCCATGTTGTCACTACAAAAACAGTATCACTCATGTACACGACATGTCAGCAATGAAGTTAGCTCAACGATGTCCAGTCAGCCTCCTGTCCATGTTTTATATCTCCCATGTGGTTCCTGATGGTTCCTGTCATAAGGAAAGCTTTTACATGGTGTCAGAAGAGGGCTTGGTCTCTCTGGTACTTTGCTGTGAGTTACAAAAGATAATTGACAAGTTTGCATGTTAACACAGCTAACGCTAGCTCCCAGAGAGGGTAGAAGGTGTTAGCTGGACATGGACAAGGTTAATGCAAGACTGAATCTAACATTGGAGTATTGGCAAAAAAACTGGAATTAAGTGGTTTAAGTTGCCATCACCATTACTCTTGTCTGGCAATGTGAGGAAAAACATTATATTGAATAGTTCTGGGCACACAAAAGCAAAGATCATGAGTTTGGGGGATCAGAAAGTCACATGATAAGGGACAAAACTGTGTTCAGAATTACTGATCAACACCTTAAGGAGCGACTGCTGAGAGAGCCAAACCTCACCTTGGATGAAACCATGGACATATGCAGGGCAGCTGAAATAGCCAAGTCTTAGATACTGGCCATGGATGGTGACAAACTCCAGCAAAACAGGACAATACATGCCATTCAGCAGAAAAGGACACATGGTCCCAAACACAGCCATAAAGGTCAGTGAACTGACTGAGAGCACACACACACCACAGGCTCCATTGTGTGTGGAAAAGTGCATCAGCCACGTCATTTTCCAGTATATGGAGTTACATGTCGCACCTGTGGTAAACATAACCACTATGCTAAAAAAAAATGTGTGGTGCTAGAAAAACCTCTCAGTGCAACAGATACAGCCCGAACTTCACTGCCTATTCATAGGGAGTGTAACTGTAGGAGAGCTGGCGACCATCGATGATGATGGATGGATGGAACCATCGACGTATAAAAGATGGAGGACATGGACATCTTGATCGCCTTCTGGTGGCTGACTGCAGTATAGGTCAGAAAGCCTGCTGCCTCCATGTTAGCAGATGGGCCAAACTAAAAAGTCAAAATACACGTCAAACACATTTTGTGTTTTTGACAGCTGAGCCCTGCTGATTGAGTCAGCTGGGTGTATGGGTGGGACTTCAATACCAGTTGATGCATTAAATCCAACTAACTCACCGGGTGAAGGGAGGAGTTAGTAGCACCATGTTTCAGCTACTGTCATGACAAGAGATGCCAAGGTCTTACATTATTGTGTCACCCTCTGGACAGTTGCATCGGTGCAACATTACAGGAGAATACTCTGGGTATGGCTTGGGCTAACTGAGGACATTGAACTGATGACGGAAGCATGTGTGCCTCCCTCTCTCTCTCTCTCTCTCTCTCTCTCTCTCTCTCTCTCCCTGGTTTCTCCTCCTTGTCTCCTGTTTTCACTCAGGATTCTCTGTGCTGGACTATCGGCAATCCTGGGACTTCTCTCTCTCTCTCTCTCTCTCTCTCTCTCTCTCTCTCTCTCTCTCTCCCCCCTGGTGGTTGGTGCCTCCTCCAGGAGATTCGGCCCTCTTCTCTCTCATTCAATTCCATTCGATTTCAATTGTCAATTTTTCAATTTAATATACTTTAATGGCATGAATGTGAGAAACCATTATTGCCAGTGTCAATAAGTAATGATGTTTGGATTACGTGCCCCTCAGTTTGTGACATGCAGTCAGCTATTGTGCAGCTGTGTTTGCTGCGTTTCGCTCTCCCAATAGAATCTTTTGTTTTTCATGGTCATTTAAGTGAATTGGACCAAAAAAGGTGCCCTAATTCAGCACAACCCTAAACCTTTTTTATTTTTGTCTATTTTAACAAGGACATTTTCAGTGCTGTTTTCTCAGTGTTAAGCTAGTGTGTTTACATGGAGATTCAGTTATGCAGCGTACTCTGATTGGCTAGACCCTGAAATTATTTTCTAACCCTAATGAGCTCACACCTTATCTCTAACAAAGGCAATGAATACTAGCCAATCAGAGGACGAGTAGTGCGGGTCTTAGCAGGATGTAAGGGAAAAAAAATCAAGTGTTACGTGGGGTTTAGGGGTGCGCAGTACGCCACCTCCTGGACAAAATTCAGAAGTACAGGTACTGAGTACCAGTGAGTACTGGCCCATTTCAGGTACTGGCTTGTCCTCTTCCAGGTTTCCATGGTGGAGGGAGGTCATGTGGCTCAGGTCCTATTTGTTTGGTAGCACCTGAAGTTGCTCAACGTTGTCCCGGACCCATATTCTTTGTATATGTTTACAATTTCTCTATAATTTTGACATTTTGTCCATACTGTAATATCACTATGCTGGTGTATTCTGTACATATAACATCTATTGCATGTCTGTCTGTCCTAGGAGAGGGATTCTCTTTGGCTGCTCTTCCTGGGGTTTCTTACAGTTGTTTCCCTGTTAAAGTTTTTCCTGATCTGAATCAAAGGTCTAAGGTGTCATATGCTCCCCAGATTGTGAAGCCCCTTGAGGCAAACTTGTGATTTGTGATATTGAACTATATAAATAAAATTTGACGTGACTAGACTTTGAACAGACATCATCTGAGACCAGCCCAGTCTCACGACAAAGCATGTAATGGACGGACTAGCAACAATAATGGACACTAGAGGATAATGTGTCAGTGTAAACGTCCAGACGTAAAAAGTAGAGATGCGTATGAAGGAGCAGTACCAGCAGTACAAAGAGGGCCAGAGTCAACATTTAGAGGAGGTCATGTGAATGGATGGGTCAAGCAAACACAGGACTTTAACCATGGAGACCACATCCTGTCTGAAACCAAAACCAGGGTTCCCCTCTTTTTAAGAAATCGTTTTTCAAGACCTTTCCAGGGGTGTCCCTAAATTTCAAATATTTCCAGTACGTGTGGGAACCCTGAATACTCAACGGTGGTTTGTCAGGTATGATCTTTTCCCAAATTCAAAATCCTCCTCCTCACACACAAAGCCCTCCATATCCAGGCCCCTTCTTACCTCGCTGTCCTGCTCCACCACCACAACCCATCCCGTAGCCTCCGCTCATCTGATGCAAACCACCCAGGACCAAGCACCGAACCTGGGGTGACAGAGCCTTCTCTGTAGCTGCCCCCTCCCTCTGGAACTCTCTCCCCAAACAAATCTGTGACTGCACCGACCTTCCAGCGTTCAAATCAATGACAAAAACTCACCTTTTTAAAATTGTTTTTAATGTTTAGCTTAGTCCGATGTATTTTTAGTGTTTTTACTATTTGATGTAGTTTTCGCTGCTTTTATGATTTAATGTAAAGTGTCTTTGAGTATTCAGAAAAGCGCTTACAAATAAAATGTATTATTATTATTAATATTATTAATAAATCCAACCAAGTTGTTTGCTTACCTAAACCTAACAAAACTGCAACTTCAGCAAGCTTTATTTTGAAAGTGTAATGGACCAGCGTACGTACTGCCACACGCTTTGGTGTGATACTTGGGTTGCCAAGAGTCCTCTGCTACTTGTGATCATTCAGTAGTGATTAAAGGGATTTTGTCCCAGCATTCATTGAGGAGGAGGCAGCACCACACACACTACATCACACACACACGTTCACTGTGGGCCTTTAACCATGGAGACCATGCATGCGTGTTCAAACTTGATGTTACTTACGTTCATATGTTTACATGTGATAAGTCCGCTGAGTGCTTTGGCAACACAAACACATGTAACCTGCTGACAGAACTGTTCAGGGTCTGACACTCTGGCTGCAACCAAACAGCAGTTATGAGGATGAGTTCAGTCCAGTAAGACTGATGGAAACTTCCTCAACAAAACAAACAGGAATATGTCTTCACGCTGTCTTGGCATTCTTTCTAAATTATAGCTCAGTTTTTTCATTTTGGATAGACACGTCCTTGAATATTTCACCCTGACAGCAGCTCAGTGTCTTCCTCACATCGATCTAACTACCTATCAATGAGGAAGGACATTCTTATGTTCTGGCACCACAGCTGGCTCTGTTTGACAGCATCAGTCATTTGTTCAAATGCTTAAAGCAACAAATGTCTATATTATTCCCTTTCTAATGAACCATAATCAAAAATTAGAAATATTGTTCACCAATCATTAATAAAGGGTTTTGTACAACAATCCATAAAGTCTGCAGTTGTCTCTAAATGTTGTCAATAGATGGATTTGTGTCTGGTATAAAAACTAAGTGGTCAAATGCACAACTGGAGAACACTGGAAAAAAAATTGAAAAAGTTATAAGAGTGGTGCGTAATGTACAGTGAGTGAAATGCAACACCCACACAGTCAGTTGAAGCCCGCTTAACCTCACTCTCTTTCTGTACAGTTATGAATTTGAAACATGCCTGAATAACGGAGGACTAAAACTTTGAATGGAAGCCACGTAACCAATAAGAATTTATTGTCACAAGCACAATTTGTTACACAAAAATAATGGGTCACATTTACACAATTTTATACAGGTCTAGAACTCAATGTACAATTAACAGACTAACTAAATACCAATAGTTAAATATGTACTCACATTGCACACAATATCATTAAAACCTACACAAAACATGTACTGTGTGAAAGTAACACGAGTCGACATAAAAATCACATTATTTACAAAAGAACATCGATTTAAGATCTTTAGCAAAAGGACTGTCTGTACGAGGTTCTCCCCTCCGTCTGTCAGAGACATTATACAATCTATCATGTAAAAGCTCCCCCGCTAGAAAGTATTATTCAGTCTCTTCATAGTTGAAAAGATTATAAAGTAATAAAGTCAAGTAGCCAGAGCTGAAGAACACCGAATACACTAGTAAATACTGCGTTTTGCTTGGACGGTATGGCGGTTTCTCCCTTTTAAAGCAGGCTGGTGAGATTAGCAGTTAGCTTCATGAAGTGCACTTTAAGCCTTAGCTTAGCAACTGTCTGCGATGAGTTTTTTTTGTATTTTTTTCATGTATACACAGAGTCCTTCTATGCTCACGTCAGGGCATCACTACATACAGGTTACACAGTAAGGTTGCTGGAGAGTGGGCAGCAGCAGGTGGAGAGGAGCATCTCCTCCTCTCCACCTGCTGTTTGGCAGAGTCAGCGATGGCGTGCAAGAGGCTGCAACAGGTAGACGGAGGTGTACATCTGTAACACGCATAAATCCCACTGCGTGTGTGTGAACATGTATGTGCATCGTTGTCGACTGATGCTCTACAGTCACTGCAGGAGTTACCAGAGGAGGTGATTGGTCCATTACTGGTTTATTGATCCTACTGGTCTTACTGTACTGTGAGTAAGTGACATCCTGTCTGGGCTGAGATGCAGTCTTGCACACATTCATTAAGATTCAATGCATAAAGCCTTCAGCTGACTCATAGCAGGGGTTGCGTTAACCAAATATCTGGTTCAGTCGCTGACTGAATTATTTTAACAAGATGGAAAAATCTCAAGGCTGTCTGTCTGTCTGTCTTTTTTGGGGCTTTTTATTGCCTTTATTATGATAGAGCAGCTGGAGAATGACAGGAAGGTCAGGTGAGAGAGAGGGGGGATGACATGCAGCAAGGAGCTGCAGGTTGGAATCGAAGATGGGTCACTGCAGGAAGGACTCAACCAGATGAGCTACCAGGGCGCTCCGGCTATTGGTCGTTTTTACAGGTTGTCAGGACGGTGATGTACTGTAACGTTACCGCTGTCACTGCCACCTGTAGTAGACCCCCCTGTCCAGTTGGTGTGTGCATATTAATGAGCTACTGTCGAGTAGTCTTGTCTTTGATCTCACATGCATGATCTCATTGTCTAGCTAGCTTTAGCCATCACATCGCTTCATAGCCTAGCTATCGCAAAATATCACGGCAGCAGAGTGTCCAAAGTTCCTTCAAAAAGTGTGTTTGATGTGGTTGATGAATACAGCTAATGTTACGGAGGAAGCAAGTGGCAGCAAGGAGCTAAAAATCATTCATCTGCCTCGTGTGGTGTTGGCATGAAAAGGGACCGCACAGTGGCTTTTCTCTCCATGCTCTTATAAATGCATCCTCTGTAAGTTCTGTATATTAAATGCTATTGAGTTGTTTTTGAAAATGAAATGTGATTAAATAGGCTATATGTTTCATTATCATTCAAACAATGTAATTCAAATGACAGGCAATGATAGACTATGATGAAGTTATTCTGCCTCTGCCTGTCAAAAGGACGCACAATAAGTGTATTGCCACCTCTGACTCATAGTGTGGTGTGTTCCACTTTGTTCTGTGTTCCCTCTCTCATTGTGAATTTATATGCACAGAGCACACTGATACAACTATTCATGAATGGATGTCAACATGTTGAACTTTGGGTAAACCAGTCTTGCTCTTAAATCGGCACCAATAACATTCCCTAACAACACTGAAGCAGCCTCTGTGTATGCACCCATACACGTAGGTCAAATGTATGACCCAGTGTGAACATCTCAAATAATCATGCTTGTAAGTAAAGGGACTGTTCCTGTGAGACTGTGATGGCACCTACAGCAGTGTGTGATGATGTGCTGCTCACACTCACTGTCTGCTCTACAGGCCTAAACTGTGTGGAGGTGCAGTACACACATTCTCTCACATGGAGCCGGTAAATGTTTGGCAATATTGTTCTCCTCAGTCACAGTTGAGCAAGAAGTCTGACAGCTTTGGAGTGGTGTGGGCCTAAATTCCTCCACAGATAAGTAATGATTAATTACGAGGGTGTTACTTGGTCTTTTTACAGTTAGATTAAATGTGTCAGCTCTACATTGACACCATTGATAAGACTGAAACGTTGAATGATTTAATAACATATTTCCTGTTTAGTTAGTGATCAATATTTAGGTCAAACTAACAGCAGAGTGTTAATAATCATATTAAAAAGTCTGAATATAACAACTTGAGAACAGGAATCAGGGGACAGACAGTGTGCTTGCAGAGACTATCTGGGCTAGTCTTTAAATTGGGACTGTGTGATTAAAAATGGACAAAGGCTGGTGACATCAGCCATAGGTGTGTGAAGAGCCGTTGTGAAGCTCAGAGTGGTCGGTTCTGGCTGTCGCCATCTTGGTAGTCCTGACTCCGCTGACTCCCGGCTAATCCAAAATCTGGTAAAGAGGTGGAGCGTGGGTGGAGCTGAGGCGGACTGAATGAAGCCTGCTTACTGAAAACAGCCAGCTGTGAACGGCGAAATTAGCTATAGAGACCAAAAGTGCTTTTTGTACCAGGCTGTAAACAGGTTTATTTCTGCTGTAAAGTTGGGCATTTTAATATGGGGCCTTATGGAGACTGCTGGAGCCAGCCTCTAGTGGCTGTTAGAGGAACTGCAGGTTTTGTTACCTCCGCATTGGCGGAGGTTACTGCTTGCTTAAGGGGCAGCTGTGGCTCAGAGGTAGAGCGGGTCGTCCACTAATCGGCAGGTTGGCAGTTCGATACCCGGCTCCTCTCGCTGCATGTCGAAGTATCCGTGAGCAAGATACTGAACCCCAAATTGCTGTGCATCGTTGTGTGACTGTGTATGAATTCCGTTCTGGTGAGCAGTTGGCACCTTGCATGGCAACCACTGCCATCAGTGTATGAATGTGTGTGTGTGAATGGAGCAATTATCCCACCCTGGAAGTTAACCCTGATATACTACTGTACAGACGGGGTTGTGTGTGTACTTGCTTGCAGACATGAACTACTGCTGAGTTACGTCATGAGGATGAAGATCTTTTGACAAATTTGAAAGGGGGAAAAGGTTTAAAATCTTGGACACTGACAAATACAGCTATAATCACCTGACCCTCCTCCTCTAGTTATGCTGACTGCAGAGAGCTCCGCAGTTTCAGTGAGCTGGAAGTCACAGTCTTGAGACAATGTCCATCAGTGTGGGGACAGACAAAGAGCTCATACAGGTTGATCTGATGTTCCCCGCTCTGACAGCAGGGTTCCTCTTTGCAGAGATGAGGTATGTGTATGTTCACAGATACAGACTGCAGGCCTCGGAGCCCAAACATTAGTGGACGGTGTGTTTGTGTGTGTGCGAATGACGAGTGCACCCAGACATTCACCGTGCTGCACATCAGCTGCGTGTTGGTGATCCAGCAATAAAGAAAAAATGAGACAACATGAGAGATGAATGCAAACATCAGTCCAGTTCTGAGAGGGAGAGTGGTGGAGAGAGAGGGGGGGGGTTTTACTCAGAGAAGGGTGGGAACATGCCGAGATCAGCGAAGTCCTCGATGTTGTAGTTGGCCGTTCCCTGGGTGGGATCTCCAGCCATGGGTAACATGTCCTGCAGAGACAATATCAGACATATTACATATCTGTGTACACTGGTCGGCAGCCAGCAGCTGGAAGACACTCTCACACACTGCAGGAGTATGTCTCAGTGTGTATGTGTGTGTGTGTTACCTGGAAGACTTCTGTCTGGCTGGGGTTGGGGTGTGTGTGCTGTTCTCCGGCCTGCTGGGAGTGATGCTGGTTCTGCCACTGGGACCAGACCTCACTGGGACGACCCTGGAACTGGGCTCCACTCTGACTGCTTTCCCCCGACACATCTGGAGACACACACAGGGTTACACTCGTAACGTGAGACCAGATCTTCAAAAACAGACACCCTCCTAGTGTCCTCAGTGAAAGCGGTGCAGACTGATTACATATGATTTTAAATTTTAAATGACTTTTTATTTTTATTTATTTTATTTATTATGTATTCAGTACAGGCAACTTATTCACACTTCATTCTTAAACATACAGTATGTCATTTCTGATACTACAGGGTCTCTCACGTCAAAACAATAACAAAAGACAAAGATGAATGACATGGTGAAGTAGTGTGGGATCATGGGAGTATATAGAGTTAAAAGCACCAAGATCTAAACAGTGGATGGTAACAATGTGGCTTCAGACTGGATAAACAGTCAATGTATGACAGCTTCTGACAGACAACCACAACGCTGACGCAGGCACAAAGGGGATATGACGCCACTGACAGGAGGCCGGTGAAACGCAGCGTTGTCTGAATTATATGATAGTAATTGTTTAGGTACACGACTTAAGCAATGAGTTAACTAACACAAAATGAATCGTGAAAAATTTTAATAACTTGTTGAAACTTTGAAAATGAATTGTTTCGGTCAATTATTGAGCAAACACAAACGTTCACTGTCTGGAGATATTATATTTTATTTATATTCTCATTCTCATGAGTCTCTTTTGGAAGGCATGTCAGACAAAACAAATGATTAAATATTTGTAGTGGCAGCAGCAATTGCAGTAACTGTAACAGTAAAGAGTAATTACTAGTGAAGTAAGATCCTGGGTTTCAGTGCTAAGGTACGGTAGGTATTTTAAAGCATACGTTGGTTTGGTCTACAGCTATATTTTATAATAATACCTAGAAAACCACAGATCCAATCCAATCTAATCTAATCCGATCTAATACTAATTCTCTCATATTTCGCAGTAGGGAATCTGGTAGCATGATAGTTTTTGAGCTTTTGATGGAGCTCTATCAAACTGTCGCTGCTCACATTCTCTAATATAAACATATGATGCTGAATCTCAGTCCGCCACAGGAGTAGTAGGGGGTTAGTTTTTCTCTCACGTTAGCAGCTGGTGCAGTTGTCATAGTTATGACACAACTATTAGATACATCCCTTTCTGTGAAGGATGACACTTCTCTTTCATGCTGTGCCGGCTGTCGAAGGCCCCGACACCCTGAAGGATCTGTCAAATATTCAACATGGTTGCCTGTGCACTCAGTACACCTTAGGTGGATGGAAGTGCAGACGGTTTAACTTTGTTCAAAACATCAAACATTTCATTTAAGCACTGTTAAAAACCTAGGGTTAATATTATTAATCATAGCATGACACTAATAGCAGTAGCAGTAGAATTTGCAGTAGTGAGTGTATTAAACTGGGTTTTAATGGCTTAACACTGTTTCTATGGAAACACATAGCACTCACTAAAGGAAAAATGGAGACTTTATCTCATAACTATGAGCTCTGTATCTCATAATTATGACTTACTTTCCTACAGGTGTTACAACATATTCTATGACCCACCAGATTATGTGATCTGCAGTTGTTCGTATTCAGTCAGGTTATCCTTGTATATAAGTAGAGGCTTTATTTCTAATGACCCCTTTTTTTCATATTTTGTGAGATGTCTCTATTTTCTAATCGGCCCCATGTTTCAATTTGATGTTTATACTTTTTCCATGTTTATCTGTTGCCTTGATAAATTCTCCACAGTGCTAACTCCATCAGTACAATAACAGTCAGACTTTAGACTTTTACTGTTTTCAATCACTTGCTAAGTTTTGTTAAACCATGGTGAACCATATGCATCCAGTGTTGAGTTTCATTGGCAGTAGCGTAAAATATATATATACAAAGAGTGGCAAAGTAGTACTGCATGTTGTGAGGAGAAAGTTATTTTTCTAAAAGTTACCTACTGCAGCTTTAATGTAGAAGCTTCTCATTTTTAAGTGGTCAAAAAGAAAGATGGCACTGGTGGCTGATCATACAGTATCATCTAAAATTGAGCTTCAGAGTTTTTGATCACAGAAGTAAGAGAACTATTTACAGAGTTCTAGTTCCAACCACTCCCTCAGAGTGAGAGTCTTCTCTTTAGCTGATTGTGTCACTTTAATTTCAGGAGTTGCATTCTTAAAATGCATTCATAAAGTATTAATAATTGAAACGTATCAATCAACAGTTTTAAACCTTAGGATTTGGTTAAAAGTAGCTTGTGAATCTAGTAGCTACACCTGTTATTTTTATATTTATGTGCCAGATACATATTTAATCAACACTAAATACCTTCTGTTGCAATAATATCAGATTAGACTCTGTATTGGCAGACACTGAATGTTAAAGAATGCAGATGCCAATTAGGGCCCAAAAAAGTTCGATTTGCATCATTAGCAAGTTAAAACAGGAGCAGAACAGAAAACAGTGAGGCTTCTTATTAAAATATAATCAATTATTCCAAAATAAACAGGAATAATGAGCAATAAAGGCCTGTCTCTAATATAAGTCTGTGTCAAATAAAGGCTAGTGATGGCAGTTTAAGAAAATACCTAACCACTATTTCAGAATTTATGGTCGCTTAAATTTCCATAAAAAGCCCATCTGATAGCAACGGCAGTGTAGGCTTTATGACTTTCTTTGTGTAACTCTCTCACTCATACACCAACAGCTACATCCCTGACTGACAAGGCTGAGCCGCAGCTACACACTGCTACACGAAATATAAATCTACGGATATGAGCACACATACACACACACTCTCCCTGCGAGGCTGTTTTGAGAGTCTACTGAGTACATTACAGCAAAGAAGACTGATAAGCTGTCTGCCTCCCGATGCAGAGGAACATTCTTGCCATTTCACAATAATAAACAGAATGCTCATTTTGTCTCCACGCACACACCAACATGAGGCTGAGCCGCTGATGGAGGGAGGAAAGAGAGCCCTTGTAAAAAATGAAGACGCAAAAGTAATTAACCAAACACATAGAGGGCTGGTTGTTTATACATGGAGTGGAAAGCGGACAAGATAAGGAAAAAACAAGAGATTATCATTAGTGAATACTGAATGGCACTGGCTGTGACTAACTTCATCCTTCAAATGGTCCGACAGGCAGAGGAAGAAAGAGGGAGGGAGCGGCCGAGAGAGTAAAAATGGATGCAATGTAACAATCAAAGTTAGATAATCAGCCCGAGAGAACAAAAGAGAAGAAATAAAGAATAAATAAATGAGGCAGTGGAGAGAGAGAGAGAGAGAGAGAGAGAGAGAGAGAGAGAGAGAGAGAGAGATAATCCATTTGGCTAATGTGTGTGTCCATTAAAAGGCCATCAAGTAGCCATTGCATGCTGGACGTGCTTCATTCCTGCAGCCATGTGGACAACAAACAGCAGAAGTCCTGAGCAGCTGGCTGATGAGCCATCACCGGCTGAACACACACTAAAGGATTCTCAGCCTTTTGCCTTCTGTGATTCCATTGTCAGCCACGCCGAGATTTTGGACAGTTGGGCGGTCCACCACATTGGTTCAGAGCGAAACTTACTCATCTAGGGCTGCAACTCTTACTTTCAACAATACATCTGCCAAACCAATTATTTTTGTCAATTAATTGATTCATGTGGTATAAAAAAAGCAAAAAATGCTGTTCGGTGTCCAAAAGCCAAGTTTTTGTAACCAACATTCCAAAAACCAAACAGCGTTCCCACTCGTTAAGAAATCATTTTCTAGGACTTTCCAAGACATTGCTCAAGCAAACAGTCATATCACTTACAAGAAGGTCAAGTATTGACCCATTTTGGCCAGTTTTACTCCTCTTTTTTTGATGATGCAGGGTTCATTACAGGTAGGTGGTCATAGTTTATGGGAAATTTGACTGCAGTTTACTACATTTTGCCTCTAACCAAGGTTTATCTGAATGAGGGGCTAAAATGGATACGTGGGAAAAGAGCTGGAAACAGTGAAATCTGGCACCATCAACAATTTCAACTGGTACATTTTCTGCTCATCAATTTATCAACCAATTGTTTCAGCTCTAGTCTCCACAACTGTTGAGTGGATATGGCCATAAAAATTGGCTCAGTGTGAATTAGGGCTGGACTGTACATTAATGTCTGCATCGTGAGAAATCAGATTAGAACATCCATGCAACAAATACTCAAAAAATAACATAGATGATAGCTGGCAACGTGAGCTGTCTTGGGTTACGACTGTCCTGTAAACTGTGACATGAATCTGTATGTGCACGTAATGAAGAGCTGCCATGGCTGCAGGTGGCTGGCTCTGGTTCTCATATCAGATCCACGAGAGGGACAAACTGAAGAAAGACCTACTAATGTTATTGGTTTGCTGTTAGGTATTTCATTATTTAACTGCACTATGAATTGTACAAATTCACCTACGTAAAGCACACTGTCAAATCAAACTGTAATGATTCCTTTTAGAACATGTTTTTATTAGTGTGGAACATCAGTCAGAGTTCAACTTCTAGGGGATTAAAAGCTAATGCCTTCAAAATGAATGTGCAGTGAGGATGAAATGCTGGAGTGTGTGTGCAAGGTTGTGTAAATGAATGTGTGCTCTGGGGATAAAGCACTTATTGAGTTTCTGAGGTCGACCTGCACCATTTAGTCTTTAACAACGTATCTGTAAATGTTTGTATTACAAGTTTATACGAAGTAAACTCCAAAATCACTAAATTCTTTGTTGAACCCACCTTGCCTGTTAAACAGCTACGTCTTTCAACCTCCACAGCCTCTGTTTGTAACACAGGCTTTTACAATTTTCTCGTCTCCAAACCCAAGCTGCGAGGGATCAATTTATTAATTGACTTAAGACTTAAAAAGCTCAACAATTATATATGTATTTGCTTGGCACACCCAGCACTTCATCATTCCCATAAATAAAATGATTGGCATGTAAATAACCCAACATTCTAGGCGAGGGATCACCAGCAACAGTGCGTCTGGTGGGCTCTCTTCTCTTGAGCCTGGTCTACACTGCAGCAGGTCAGTGAGGCAGCTGTCATGCACTAGTGGTTTTTAGATGACCATAAAAGTTAAAACAAACCCCAACTTTTCTGCACAAGGCATGGAGTCTCGCCAATCATCAATGTGACATTTGGCCCAGGCAGCCTATCAAGTCCAGCAAGAGGCAGGCTTTACTACTTTACCACTTCCTTCCTGTTTATACACCAGTACATGTGAGAGCGACGGACCACGTGAGAGGGAAAGGGAGAATTCTAATCGTTTTATGTAGGTTACTGAGAGTGAGGGCAACGGAAAGAGATCAAATTCAGTCTGAATTTCTTTTCGATAAAAAAGCCCCGCTCCACAAGCACATTGGCTGTTTTGTCTGACGCGTGAAGTGACCGCATCTGTAGTGATCCGTCTCTGTCTGATCAGCCCATAACAGGAGTTTTACTAAAAGTAACAAACATATATATTATAATATATTATATATAAAATAATATTGGCTGCCCGCCCTTACTATTTATGTTAGTTTTTCTGAATACAGATCAGAACAGGACAATCTGTAGACCTCTAATATTTCTTTGCCACAATGATGCATTTATGTACAGATTTAATGGAAATGATAAAATCCCTTTCCTCCAGTCAGTTTGTGAATGTGACAGCACATGAACCCCCATTCACATGATGAGAGCCACTGTCAGATAGTGCTACTGGGTTTCCAAGCAGGCAGGGATTCAATAGGAATTTAATGATGCTCAGCATTTTGCTATTTTGTGAGAACACTCTAGCATGCAGGCAACACAGGCAACTTTTTGTGCCAGTCTATCAGTGGAAAAGGACTTTTTAAGTAGTGTTCAGAAGCACTTATCAGATGCATGAACCTTGCTGTGTTATTCATGACACTTATAAAAAGGCGGTTAACGCAGTGTGAGGTGAGAAAAAAGCTCTGAAGGCCATCCAGAATGATGTACATTAATGGTGGATGGAACTGTTAATGACGGACTTTGGCTCTGTCTGCTTTGCCTCCCATCCATGTAATTACCTCTGTACCAGGACAAAAATAAGCCAGTAAGGCTTGAAAGCAAGGAAATTGCTTTCTTAATTGAAGTGAATACATGGCAACTGTAACCGGGTCTCAGCTGAGGTCTGAAGATACCAACATTCTTTTTGTTCTTCTCCCTTTGGCAAGGTTTGATGGGTTTTCATTATATTCAGATCCACACTGTATGGAGACCTTCTATACAGTATAGTATGATTGATATTACTGGCATGCTTAAACAGCTAATGATAAAGGATCTTTCTAAGCTCAGCAGCCCACTGAGGTGGTTTGGTGCAGGGGATTTAATCACTGTGGCGTATCTTTGACATAAAAAATAAAGTGCCTGCCAATGCTAATTTTACAAGAGAGCACCTGAGCGCTGCTACATATCTGACTGACTGAAGGAGCATTAATGGTGCCTTCTAATGGAAAGCAGAAGTGGAAACATTTTGGACCGTTCTGAGATTACAACTTGTGACATACACAAACTGACTGACTGACTGTTTTAAAATGGTCAAGCTCATGGAAGCTCACATTTGTAGTCTACTCTGCTTTCCACATCAGGTCACACTAATGATGGTTAAACTATAACACAGACTCCAGAACATCCAGAGTTGCATTTAGGACAATTTCTCAGGCTGTTGCTAAGCTGTGACCACACAGAAAACTTATTTTATATTCAAGTCTCAAACTGGTTTACGTGGGCAATCTGAGTCCTAAAATAAAAATTTTCAGGACAATATAAATTATTTCCAAGATGTTTCATCATTTCAACCAATTTCCAGGTTTTCTATGGCATGTGGGAACCCTGCACATGAAGCAGCTGGCAGGTTAGTGTGTTAGTACAGGACTGCTGATTCTGTTGCAGTATTATTTGTTGTTGGATATGGCGAGGTCACTACCTGCCCTGCCTCACAACAAACACACACAAGGCTGGTGTGTTTGTAACAAAATAAGGGTCATATATCTGAGAGGCTGGCTGAATTTATCATTTGTGAGTATATTGCCTATCTGGAAGAAGCACTGCAACCTCTGCATCATGTTTTCTTCCTTTCGTGGCTTCCACAATGCAAAGGCTTCTGCAACAATATTCACTGTCTTCAAACTATTTCCCTCTCGACCCTTTCTTCGCTGCCTCAGCTACATCAACTCACTGTCCACTGCAGATTGTGACAGCATGGAGAGAAAGAGACATTTTTCTGCTGTAATGCTCATTCTCCTTGGTATATCATTTCCAAAACAGGAGCTGTGTTTCCATCTAAGCCCAATTTAGCAAATGAATAGGAGTTGGTTCATCGAAATAAGCAGTAGGTGTTGCCAAAACCAGTAGAAGAGGGCGCAACAAGATGAGGTAATTAAAAGAATACCAGTTGAACCTCAAATGGTGGAAAACAATGCAGAAAACAGGATGGAAATATGATATTTCTGTTTCATGTATTAATGTGAGGAAGGTTCTACCAGATCTGTGTGCAGCGATCATGGATGTATTATAGAGCCATGGGAGCGATGAGGAGACTGTCGGAGCGCAAACAGCCCATCAGTCCTGAGAGTTAAATGTCCGTAATATCAGAAAGGATTCAGAATTATCCATTTTTTTGCAGAATTGAGGGAGTTTTTTTAATGTTGCCGTTTCCATCAACCTTCTCTAATGCAATATTTCAAAATGTGCATAAAAATAAGTACATTGGAAACATGGCTAGTGATGTTGTCAAGCTGCCACAGAATCTTATCATGCTGATACAATCATATGGTTATCATTTTAAATTCTCTTTTCTAAATGAATGACTCAAGACAGTTGGCATTTTAAGCTAACAAAACGTGTTACACATCCAAAGGTTCGTCTGATGTAATGTATAGCAATGGAATTTATTTGATTACTTTAGATGTCATTTTGTATTTGCAATATTGTGAGTTGTAAGTAGATTTCTATTACACATGGTTCCTCAGTAATTATGTTTACAGACAGAAAGACAGACACACAGACACTTCCACAACAAATAACTATCCTGTACCTCATGTGTATGTATCAGCCGGTAAGAAATGTGTGCTCACCAAAAGCTGTGCTGCGGTTCGTCAGTCCTGAGTAGGCATTGCCGCTGGGGGAGGAAGTGGCTGGGGATGACAGGGGACTGTAGGAGGCCGGGTCCGTCTGGTAGCTGTGGCCGGAACCAATACCAAATGGACTGGACTGGGCTTTACTGGACTGGTGAGCACAGATACAGCATATCAGGGTTGTAACTGTTATTCATCTCACTATAATACAACACAGGGTTGACAGGTCAGTACTCTCATGTCATGCCTTCCTTAGACATGAAATGAGCAAAGATTGTATTTTCAAAGTTGAACATTCTTTGTTATTAAGTTAAATGAGTTAATATTCATTCTTATACGCATGAAAAATGATCTGACACTGTGACACATCAACATGTGGCCAGCTCCTGGAAATTTCCATTAGCTGGCCAAATTACAAAATGAGACTCTTTCCTGTTTGACAAATGTGCTCTGCCAAATGAGTCTGATCCACTACTACTGCTACTGTGTTCGTGTAATTTCTAACAGGTAGTCAGCTGCAGTAAATGTTGCTAGCAAGCAATGTAAAAGAAGCTTCCACATTCAGGTATATCAATTCCTTCACATTTAGCTAGGATAACTTATTCAGGAGGCTAATTTAGGAAGCGTTTGAAATTATATATGTAAAACTGAAATTCATTCGGAAAGCTTAAGGAGGCTCAAGCTCAAGTTTACAGTACAATTACAGTTTATGGTTTTGAGTATTTGATTTGCAAACACTGGACAAGTGTTTCACACAGCCCTTGCGTTGGCACACCCAAACACCCACTATACTTTCACAAAATGTACTTAAAACTACATTCCACTTGGGAGAAGAACTGCCAAGGTGCATTTCAGCAAGAAACTAATCCAATCCAATCACTGAACTTGGAATTCTGTCAGGTGCACAACTAACGGCAGGTGGAAAATAATCTGCAGGTTGAATCAATTCACTTTTATTATTAGTTATGTGCCACATTTTGTTAACAACTGCAACAAAGAAGTTTTAATTTGCTTCTGCTCTGATTCATTATTATTGTCCATTCTAAGGGTATGGGTATTGCGGAGCCGCCCGCCATGCCAAAATGCAACATGATTTCTCAGAAACAGGTGGTCCTAACATAAATCTATATGATCATTACATTATCTGGGAGAGTCCCATGTTTCTGTATTAAGCAGCACTGAAGACACTGTGGAAAGAAAAAACTGAAATGGTAATACAGCCTGAAGAAAAAAACACTTCTGGAACCATTTTGTAGGGGAACTACTTTTATAATTTACAAAAACAAAAACAGATGCAAATTATCCTCAGTGTATCTCTGTGTGCTTGAAGAAAATGCATGTGTTTAGTTTGGGTTATTGTTTGGATCGCAGTTTTGTTAAGAGATTTTACAGCAACAGCAGCTATCATTTGCCAGGCTTTTACTGGATTTTGAGGATTTCAATACATAATATACAGACTGGGTTGCTGCAATTCACCGCCTACAGACTGATTTACTTTACTCTTGTAATCCAAGCATCCAGCTGTTGCAAAGACATCAGACCAAAACACATTTTGGGGGCTTGTTAAGGGTCAAAAACAACACGTTAACTTAATGGCACAGACTTCTTCCAAAACATCTCATTGTTTTTAAGTAATAGTTTGGGCAAATGGGCTTTTCCAATATTGGGCAACTGCACTTATGAACTACTTGTTATCATTGAAACCTGTATGATGTTAGCTCTTAATGTCTTCTGTGTTTATAGAAGTGGTGAAAACATCCAACCTTCTTTTCAACTCATATCATCTGGCTCAAGTTACTGTGGTGCATTTAGAGGTTATTGAACAACAAAGAATTCAGTCTGGTGGAATGACCTGACAAGTGCAGCAGTGTGTGTGGAAGACAGATGAGCCTGTGAAGAAGCATATGCTCAGCACATTCTCTTAGCAAGATACTGTTAACGGGCACCAGAGATGGGAGTCTGGGTTACAGAGGAGCAGAGAAAATGAGTTTGGAAATCATGGCAACCATGGAGATTGCCAACTTTATTGTTGATACAAAAGGCAATGGTTTCACAATAATAAACACTGTCTGCTTGTGTGTTAACTTGTGTGTGTGTGTGTGTGTGTGTGTGTGTGTGTGTGTGTGGGTGTGTGTTACCTGTCCAGAGAAGGGGGGTCGGTTGCCTGACCATGCCACCTGGCCTGGGTTGAGCTGTCTGGTGATCTGAGCTAGATTCTGATTGGATGAGCCTGATGGCTGGATGTCGTTCACGCCGGGGACATGGATCACAGAGGAACTGTGTGCACAAGGACACACACATACACACAAACAAACAAAGAGAAGCTCAGTCTGGCTCCACTTTTCTCTAGAGAGACACTACTATCACAGCAGTGGTTGAGTGATGGATGTAAGCTGCTGAGCGCTACATGCACTAACACACATCAATGACACGTACCTGAAGCTTTTGCCAGAGTGTCCCTGCTGGAAGGGAGAGCTCTGCGAGTAGAGCTGCTGTCCTCCAGCTGTAGAGGAGGGAACCATCATCTTCTTATCTCCCGCTACACACACACACACACACACACACACACACACACACACACACACACACAGAGAGAGAGACCAGGGTCAGCATTATTGAAATAACAGAAAGGAGACAGGTGAATATAAAATATAAAGCTAGACCTCGTCAAAAACTGTCAAGATGTATGTATGTATGCGGTGTATGCAGATGATTGTGTGTTTGTGTGTGTGTTTCGTACAGCCGGAGATGCTGGTGTACATCTCAGCAAAGCGAGGGTCTCTTTCCTGGGAGAACAGGGCTTCTGTCTTGTCGATGTTCTTCCCTGCCTCATGGACTCCACTGCTGACACTGGCGACAGGCACCTGACAGTGGGGTTGAATGAGGAGGGCATACAGGTTGATGTCAGGCACGATTTGATCAAAAAACATGAACACAAATAATCCACATGCCAGCATAGACACAAAAGTACAATGGATTAGCAGTGGTCAGCTTATTAGCCAAGTAGCCAAGAAAAAAGAAAATGGGATTTTGTTGTACTGTTACTAATCCTGCTCCTGGTAGTGTTCATTTAGCAATAAACTGCACAATACCATGTGTAAGGACAAAAAAAAGTCATTTTCTGTGTATTCTTGGATCCCCATTAGCTGCCACTAAGGTAGCAGCTACTCTTCCGGGGGTCAACACACATAAACAGGACATATTACAAGTGTAAAAATGATACCATATACAGACAAGGATTACTTTACATGACCTGCTGTTAGCCTTGCTCTAAAGCAGATGGTTACCTGGGAAAGATCGTAGGCAGTCAGTCCATCTCTCTGGTGAACCTCCAGTTCTGCCTGCTGTTGCTGTTGTAGCTGCCTGCAAAACACACCACAATCAGCAAACTGACACAGGCATACAATTCCTTTAGATGTGTGTTCCTTGGGGCAAAAGACACTGACATACCCACTGACACCACAATAAACCCAGATAAAGTCGGAGAAGAACAAGGGTAAGTGTAAGGAGAAGAACATCATGTACATTTGTATAGAATGTGATCCAAACATTCACACCAGTGTCCTACAGACAAGCAATGTACACCAGTAATTTACCGGATCTACTTCAGTTGGAGACATTTAAGGCAGCTTTTATTACATACATTTATCCAGAAGACAAGAAGAAATAAATACCCAACATTTTTGCTTTTTTACATAGTTTTGGCCTGCTTTGTGTTCCTGCTGACTTATTACAAACAAACCAAGAGCTATAAACATGAAGTGACACGGCCTGACAGGTGACTCATTCATTGGCCAGTTTTGGTGATGTGATCCTGCATCAACAGCTAAGCCACATGTGGAAATCAAACTGCAGTGAGTGACTAAGACAGTGGGGCACTTCACTGCACTTCACTGAGCACGATGTGTTTATCTTGACACAGGTCTTGTCTATCATGGGTGAACTTAGGTGTCACAAACAGCTCGGCATAAAATAACCGATCATGGGCATTATCAGTCTGAATGCTGAACTTCATATGACATGAATGATGACAGACAGGTAGAAACCGGACAAAAGAGAGGCGTGTTCTACTGTGTGGTTGTTATTTAGATCTGTATATGTTGTCTTTTAGATATGATACAAGATTGCTCTCTTGACAGTTCTAATGATCAGCTGTTTTAACAGGTCTTTTTTTTTTTTTTTTACCTCAGAAACAATCGTTGAGATAACAATCTCACCACAAAGTCCTTTTAGAGATTTCGATCATATCACATGATCTTCATCAGCAGATGGATTCTGCCTAGTTGTCATAGAATTCCAGTTGTTCAAAAATATTTTTTTCAGGACCAATAAGTCCTTTGAACATTTACAATTCCTGTGGATCGTCATCTGATGATGAAGATGATGTGATATGATCAAAAGTTACAGAACAGCTACTGAATGGTAGCCTGGGAACCAGAGGAACCTGCCGAGCTCATTATGTCTCATTGACTCTGGCAGATGCATTTGCAAATTAAATCTGGTGATGCTGGGCTAACTGAATGGACCTTGTGATGAGATTTATTAGTAGTTTATCTTTTAAATTCAAGCTATCATCATTTTATCATGTACTATCACATAATCCAGTTGATCCTCTTTGCTTTGTCACCACAAATGAACCACAGCAGACTGGACTTGCACCAGACTGTGACCCCTTTCAAAAAGTCTGTCTGTCTGTTTGTTCATCAAATAGCAGACTGCAATTGTTGCTCACACCAGCCCAAAATAACCAAAATTAACAGGAAAATCTTTCAGAGTTCATTTGAAAGGCACCTAACGATCTAGGTGTGGATGCATCCTTTGGAATAAGGAGTAATATATCAGAATGAAGGCCTATATCTAGCACTGACAATAAGACATTCTAAGCTACTCTTCAGAGTAAATCTGAGCAATGTACTACAATTATAAAGGAAGACCATGTTCATAATGGTAGAAAAGGCTGTGCCGTAATATTTCAAGCAGCAGCAGTGAGAGATCCACAACAATACAGACCAGAACAGAAACAGCACTTACTAAATCACTGAGATATGGCAAAAGCATAAGGCAAGAGGTACCATGAGTAAGGATGGTACTAAAAAGCTGAGAACTGGGGCCGGGAGAGCTTGGTGGTGGAGGGAAATATCAATCAGCACAGTCTGTATAGCAACAGGCTTCCAGGTGTGTGTGAGTGTGAACGCAGCAAAGGGTATTCACATGGAATGAAAAGTAATTCTTTAGACTGTCTTCATGGGAAACATGGAGGTTATTTATGTGCTCTCCAAGTCAAGAGCAGTTGTTATCAGATCAAAACTTCCTCCACAGACACGCTGCCCTCTGAGGGCTTGGTCACAGCACCATCTATGGCCATTTATGTAAACTGTTTTCATCTAGTTCAGTTGATCTGAAGGGAAGTGTCTCTATTAGTGGATTTGCTAATGACAGCGAGTATATCTGCACAGCACTTTTGTGTCAGGTTAAACACAATAGCAAAGTCAATTTTATACAATTACTTAGGGCTGGGCGATAAATCGATTTTATCGATTAATTCGAATTTGTAGTTAAACATGATTTATTTTTAGTTAAAATCGGTTTTCTCTTGAACATCCACAACACCGGCGCTCCCTTTGGGCTCCCGTAGGTCAGAGTGCGCTGACCCCTCCCCCTGCCTCTCCACAGATAAACACAACATGGCAAGCCAGGATGAGCTCGTCCCCAAAAAAGGCACAGTGTTGTCGGTTGTTTGGAACAGGTTTGGTTTTGTGGCCAACAAACCACGACCCACTGCAAAGTTTGTTTGAAAGCTGTTGCAACCAAAGGTAGCAGTACGACCAATTTATTCCAGCACCTCAAGCAGAGGCATGCAGCCGAGTGGGAGAAATGTTGCTCTCTGCGAGATATACAAGACCACAGCCCACAAACACCCGCTAAAAAACAGTCTACAAAAAAATCGATTCAAATCGTAAATCGGGTTTGGTGTGAAAAAAATCTGAGATTTTATTTTTAAGCCATATCGCCCAGCCCTACAATTACTTTCACTTGGCATATAATAGCATACAAAAAATTGCCCTTAGATATAGATGCAGCTAGATTTGTATCTAGTATTGAACCTTTATATAAACCCAATGACAAGCAAAAACCTGCAAACACAATTTCTGACCAGGGTCTTAGGCCATAGATGGTTAGTAGCTGTGCATTACAATGTGCTCCACAATTGCATTGGATCTATTTGTTAGTCCATCAATCCACTCTGTGCCGTTTGTTTGAGTCCAGGTTGTAAGGGCAACAGACTATGTACTATAAAGTAACCAAGGTGACCTTCATTTTGCTGTGTCCTTCTCTGGGATCCGAAGACATTCCTCAACCAGATGGGATATGTAAACCCTCCAGCATGTTCTGAGTCAGATCCTGGGTCTCCTCTCAGTTAAATGTATCTGGAATACCTCCACAGGGAGGCATCCTAATCTGATACCTGAACCAACTCAACTGGTTCCTGTCAATATGAAGACGCAGCTACTCTGAGCTCTGTCTGGATGTCTGAGCTCCTTATCCTGTCCCTAAAGGCAGAGGCAAGCTTCAAATGAACTGGGTGGTACAAAGTGTTGTCTGACCATGTCTAAAGGCAGAAGTATTTATACCTGTTCTGAACAGCAACTGAGTGAAATCCCAGCCTTTATAGTTAGAGTTGATTTATCATATAAATGGGAATAATGGCACACATTTTCAGCACACATGGAGTTGAACTCTGTTGTACACATGACAAGTGACAGTAAAAAGTAGTTGTGTGAAGAATGAGAAACAAAATAGAGTTTGTTTAAACCTTGTCTACTTACACACCTCCTCATACCTTGCTGATCAAAGCATAAGGTGGCCATGCTTGTTGGACTGTTGGTGTAAAAAACTTGCAAAAATAGTTGGATGCAGCCCATAGGAAAGGTGTAGGGGAGGGGTTTTCACACTTAAAAACAGTCTGAAAAGCACTTTGTGTGGAGTGTTCTGAGCCCAGACATCCTGTGAGTTAAACTCTAACCCTAACCTTTTCTGCTACTAGTGTCCATAATCTCATTCTTCTGGCCATGACCACAGGTCTGGGTTGAAAGGTAGATCAACTTGTTAATTGAGAGCTTCCACTTCATGCTCACCTCCCTCTATACCACAGCAGACAATGCCTGCATTACCAAGCCTGTACTGATCCACCTGTCAATCTCACGCTCCATTTGTTAGTGGCACACAGAATTAACCTGATGCGCCAGATGGTTTGTAACACCGAACCATCTGGGAAGTTGACTTGGCAGGTTGATTGGATGAACCATCTGGTGAACTTCATCCAATCAGATCACAGAATCAGTAAGCTAGTTATTTGCTCTTCTTTGTTCTGATATAACTGATGCTAGCAGCATCTCTGTAACCTCTTTAGGAGCTGCCATTGTTGTTGTTAAACAAATAGTCAATTGCTGCACGTAATTCCGCAAAGCAAGCTGATTGGTCCGAACCACGATGGTTTGAACACAACACATAATTTGAAGTCAGGCAAGACTGACTGTTGTCTGGTCTTGTGATTTTGTGATTTTGTGAATCCAGCTACCGCGCAAGGTAGACATAGAATGAGTGCACACACAAAACCTGAGGATTTGAGTTAGAATAGCTGGCCTGTTCTGAAAGCACTGGGCTGGAAGTACATTTATGTGAAAGGTTTCAGGAATAAGATACCCTGCTGCTGTAATAGCTTTGGACCACTTGACTTCAAGACCAAAATAGTCTACATGAGGAGTTTAAGAGCTCTCACAGCAGACTCTTCAATTTTCTATTCATCAAAAAGCACAAAGTGGGCTATTTGTTTAGTTCTATGAGAGAACGCTTCCCCACTCTGTACTTTTCTATCATTCTTGCTGATATATTAGTTTCATCTATGTGCAGAAGTAGGCACCAGGAATTTATGATGATGTATAAAAAATGTATCTACAAATTTATGATTCTAGAATTAAAACATCTTTCTGACCATTTCTGAAGCATATAAAATATGAAGTATCCACCAAAATATGCTTAATATCACTGGACAGGACACCTCCTTCAAACTGTTGGAGTGAACTGAAGGGGAAGCAAGAGAAGAGAAGCATGCAGGCACCTCTGTCTCGCAACAATAACTCACTCTGGACTCCCCTGCTTTAACCTGCATTAAGCTATGCTTCCAGGAAGAAACTACAACAATTTCAACAAACCGTTATGAGCACTTCTGATGCATAAATACATGATGCCACTGAGGTGTAAAAGACAACAAAAGCTACACAGCTGTGAAAGTTTAAGAACAATTTGTGATGATGATTTGAAATCTGCTCAGTGTATGCTCCTATTATGATGATTTATTTATA